AACCTTCCACACCTCGAGGCTCCATCACCACCACCACCACAAACCTTCCACACCTGGAGGCTCCATCACCACCACCACAAACCTTCCACACCTGGAGGCTCCATCACCACCACCACAAACCTTCCACACCTGGAGGCTCCATCACCACCACACAAACCTTCCACACCTGGAGGCTCCATCACCACCACACAAACCTACTCCTGAAGGCTCCATCACCACCACCACCACAAACCTTCCACACCTGGAGGCTCCATCACCACCACAAACCTTCCACACCTGGAGGGTCCATCACCACCACAAGCCTTCCACACCTGAAGGCTCCATCACCACCACACAAACCTTCCACACCTGGAGGCTCCATCACCACCACCACAAACCTTCCACACCTGGAGGCTCCATCACCACCACAAGCCTTCCACACTTGAAGGCTCCATCACCACCGCCACAAACCTTCCACACCTGGAGGCTCCATCACCACCACAAGCCTTCCACACCTGAAGGCTCCATCACCACCACACAAACCTACTCCTGAAGGCTCCATCACCACCACCACCACAAACCTTCCACACCTGGAGGCTCCATCACCACCACCACAAACCTTCCACACCTGGAGGCTCCATCACCACCACAAACCTTCCACACCTGGAGGGTCCATCACCACCACAAGCCTTCCACACCTGAAGGCTCCATCACCACCACACAAACCTTCCACACCTGGAGGCTCCATCACCACCACCACAAACCTTCCACACCTGGAGGATCCATCACCACCACCACAAACCTTCCACACCTGGAGGCTCCATCACCACCACACAAACCTTCCACACCTGGAGGCTCCATCACCACCACACAAACCTTCCACTCCTGAAGGCTGCATCACCACCACACAAACCTTCCACACCTGGAGGCTCCATCACCACCACCACAAGCCTTCCACACCTGGAGGCTCCATCACCACCACCACCACAAACCTTCCACACCTCGAGGCTCCATCACCACCACCACCACAAACCTTCCACACCTGGAGGCTCCATCACCACCACACAAACCTTCCACACCTCGAGGCTCCATCACCACCACCACAAACCTTCCACACCTCGAGGCTCCATCACCACCACCACAAACCTTCCACACCTCGAGGCTCCATCACCACCACCACCACAAACCTTCCACACCTGGAGGCTCCATCACCACCACCACAAACCTTCCACACCTGGAGGCTCCATCACCACCACCACAAACCTTCCACACCTGGAGGCTCCATCACCACCACACAAACCTTCCACACCTGGAGGCTCCATCACCACCACACAAACCTACTCCTGAAGGCTCCATCACCACCACCACCACAAACCTTCCACACCTGGAGGCTCCATCACCACCACACAAGCCTATCTCGCTATCAATCTCTCCCACCCCCCCCCCCCCTCCCCCCCTATCTCCTGCCTTTCATACATATTGTCCCACACGATCCTTTCAATACAATGGTCGTCTGCCTCTACCACACGACCCCCCGCATCTCACCCTTGAACACCCTTGCTATAACGGCCCGTCCTCTCCAGTCGTCACAACGGACAGAAAATAGTGTGCTAAACTGCCCGAACCGAGCCTCAACCTACGACCCGCAAATAGGAAAGCAAACTACCGCGAGCCGCCTATGATTATCAGCGTACATCATATTTTGTCCGTTGGGGATCTGCACGTCAAAATGCGATGCATTATTTGTTGAGCCAATATCGGCCACACCCGCCCAACATGTCCATGTAAAGCGAGTTCCGCCTCACACACTCCACCCATTCCCCCCCCCCCCCCACTACTACCCCTCCACCTATTAACTAACTTGGTTGTAAAGTTTGACCTGATCCACCTCAGCAGCGCCGCCAATGACCTCGTCGCAGCCGGCGAAGATCAAGATTCGTATAGGCCAGTAGGCCTTCTGAGGATACCCCCTTTACTAAGACCTTGAAGCACCACCACCACCACCACAAGCACCTCATCGTTCTACCGTCCAACCCAAGTGGTTGGACGACTAAGAGAGAAACTTTCACAAGGAAATGTCAAAGTCAGCAATCTTAACTCATCACCCCCCCCCCGCATGGTGGGACACCAGGCACTATTTCCGGAGTAAACAATGTAGCCCCCACTTGCTCGTCTGAGAACCTAACTTTACAAATATTCCTCCAAATAACCAAACGCCATATCTCGCTATCTTCAGTGGTGAATCCAGACCCATGAATGGGTTGACTGGTCCTAAATAATACCGGTCTGACCGCCTGCGTGCGCAGACTTGCCCCCTGACTGTGGCCCTAGTCCATAAACAAAAACATTATCTCCCCCAACCAACTAAAGGTAGCCAGTAGGCCCAGGGGTAGATATAACCCCAAGTTTTGGTAAGCAGAACGCACAAAAAAGGATAGTCTAGGGCCTATGCCAACCTGGCGAACACGAGACCACTATTGGAACACGTGGAGGCGGCCCCGTGAGCCACAACACCAGCCACTTCGCCCCCGTGAAGCGGATCTTAAGCCTGCACAAGTTATGTTCTGAGCTCAACCAGCATACCTGATCAACCAAGCTGTGACTCACACGTCAGGCTGCGAGCAGCCGCGTCCAACAGCCTGGTTGATCAGTCCAGCAACCAGGAGGCCTGGTCGACGACCGGACCGCGGGGACGCTAAGCCCCGGAAGCACCTCAAGGTAACCTCAAGGTAAGGTAGCACACAACTTGAAATGGTGTACACATCTACAACGAGGCTGCTCCCTGAACAACGTGGGATGGAGTATAGCGGGTTGAAGGAAATGGTCTAGTGCTGTCAGTCACAGCCCTGCTCCTGTGCCCACTACGGGTTCACCATAGCCCGTGCTACTTGCAACGTGTTGTTCCCAGTAGCTGACTCTAAAACAACATGGACTAGCAACGCTAAAAACGACTCAAGCGGGAGAAGAAGAGACAAGACAAACATGGGAAATGACAAGAGAAATGAGGAAATGTTTACCAAAAGAGAACGAGAGAATATGCACGGAATGTGGGGGGGGGGCACTAATTAGCCTCCAAAGATAAACTACTCAATTAGCTAGCGAAAGGCACGCAAACTGAATTAACTACTGCTGCTGCTGTTTTTAGATTCAGCTACTGTGAACAAGTCCCAAGGAGCACGGGCTATGGTGAGCCCGTAGTGGACTTTATTAAGAATTGGCTATTCGAAGGAGCAGCGGGACCAATATAAAAAAGTACACATATATAATTATGGGCATGTAGGCTATCTTGAGATGATTTCGGGGCCTAGCGTGCCCGCGGCCCGGTCCTCGACCAGGCCTCCACCCCCAGGAAGCAGCCCGTAGCAGCTAACTAACACCCAGGTACCTATTTACTGCTAGGTGAACAGGAGCATCGGGGTTATCTTGAGGTTATCTTGAGATGATTTCGGGGCTTTAGTGTCCCCGCGGCCCGGTCCTCGACCAGGCCTCCACCCCCAGGAAGCAGCCCGTGACAGCTGACTAACACCCAGGTACCTATTTTACTGCTAGGTAACAGGGGCATAGGGTGAAAGAAACTCTGTCCATTGTTTCTCGCCGGCGCCTGGGATCGAACCCAGGACCACAGGATCACAAGTACCGCGTGTTGTCCGCTCGGCCGACCGGCTCCCCGGGGTGAATTAATTATTGTTCATTTGTCTCCGCTTCCACCGGGGATCGAACCCGGAACCTCAGGACTACGAATCCGAAGCTGTCGGGCGCCCTCAATAAGATTGAGGGGAAATCGCCCAGCCATGCGGGCGCCCTCAGCGACAGTCATTCAATTCGAGTTACTCGGCAGGTGGAACAGACAAGAGCCCAAGAGCTGAAGCTCGATCCTGTAGTCAGAAAGTGATAGGTATACCATGGTGACAGAGGTGCACGACGCCACAACTCAACGCGACGAGGCCCACAATTTGCATTCCTGCCCCAACCTGGGAGTCGCCCCTCCCTCCCACCGTCCCACCGTGGGCCCCAGCACACGCCCAGGGGAGCGGCCCTTGACGACCCATCAAGGAAATGCCTCCTCCTTCCCCCCCCCCCCCTTCCTTTCCATTCCTTCGCAGGCAGGGCGGGAGAGAGAGAGAGAGAGGGGGGGGGGGGGGGGGGAGGATGAGAGAGAGAGGGGACAGGCAAACAGGCATCGCCCACATTGACCTCTCGTCTGAGCTGCTGCCAATGATCACAGCCCCTCCGAGACTACACGTTTACACGATAAGCTATCTGCAAGTTCACTATACGTATTGCCAGCGTCTGGAGTACGCGGCCTGAACCTCTCGCCCTCTGGTAGTCCACCAGACACTCGTGTTCCGGATTGTAACATTCGTTGTAACGAGTAATTTCTCTTACGCTAACCCATTATACTTTACGTTGACCTTGCCGTGCTTGTGGGTCTACTCTCCCGGATCTTGACATTCTTGGAGGCCTACTCTCCCGGATCTTGATACCAAGACCCTTGCAGGTCATCCCTAGGGGGTCAGAGGAAGCCCCAGGAGTATATCGTCAGGTCTACGCCCCCTTCCTCCTAATCTATTTCCGTCAGGAGATATGCCACACAGACCATCAATAAACAGTACATGCACACCACAATAGTGTGATATATCTATGACACTCTTTGGAGCAATGCAATAGAATCTAACTCACGTCCCGGGTCCTCCCCTAGACGCATTAACTGCCCATTAACAGTGTACATGGTTGCAATTAATAAAATAATCATTTCTTTCAGACACTATACCTCTTTAAACCCCCGTTGGTAAATGTTATCTTAAGAGAATATCAACCAACCAATCCACTCCCCCCCACACACACACACACCACACACACACACACACACAGCACACACACCGCACATACACACACACCACACACACCACACATACACACACACCACACATACACACACACCACACACACCGCACACACACACCACACCCCCCCCTCACCCACACACACACACACACACCCACAAAACAATGTTGTCTTACCCTGAGGAAAGACTGCGTGCCAACACACACCTGTAAGACAAGAGGACAACATTAGACGTTGAACTAGACCACAATACATAAAGGCAGCAAGACTAAATGACACACAGTGTATTTGTTAAGAGCGTGAGCATAAACAGACTGAAATATTCCAAATGGTTGGGTGCTCTACCGGGGTGAGAATAGCTTGAGCTACCTCATCCCTTTGTGTCTATTTTACCTCAATAAACTTACTTCAATTTCTGGTCTCCTGACAGGGAGGGAGTGTTCAGGGTAAAGCGCCAAGCCATTACGACTATATAGCTTGATTCCTGCCTGATACCTGGTTGATGGGGTTCTGAGAGTTCTTCTACTCCCCAAGCCCGGTCCGAGGCCAGGCTTGACTTGTGAGGGTTTGGTCCACTAGCACTAGGAAGGGGTCAGGATAATGATTTAGGACGGGACGGAGGGTAAAGGAATAATGCCCAACCACTTATACGGTCGGGGATTGAACGCCGACCTGCATGAAACGAGGCCGTCCCTCTACCGTCCAGCCCAAGTGGTTGGGTTCTAGTCTCCTGGAACAGTCACCTGTCATTACTGTGTTATGTAGGAAAGACGTAAAACTGTTTTTATGTATCTATGTATGTAGGTTACATTAGCATTTTATAAGCACTACAATCACCTTGTCACCGTATCAAATCAACCTTCTGTGGTTGATTTGTTCAATAAATTACTGAACTGTATGTTTAAACAGATCTCTCACCCTCTCCATGGAGGACAGAAGAAAATGTATGTATGCTGATTAGCATTGTGAATGTCTGGCCACGTCTGTGGTAGAAAATAATATATAAAAAAACAACTATGGCCGGGCAATGTTGTCCTTGCTGGAAACCTTTGGCACGAACTGTACTTTCTCAACCAACAACCATATTTTGGGGATAAATATATAATAATAATAATAATTAACAGATGATTGACGGTTGAGAGGCGGGACCAAAGAGCCAGAGCTCAACTCCCGTAAGCACAACTAGACGAGTACGTACACACAGTTTCGGTTCATTATCACACCTAACCTGTCCCCAGAGGCCCACATCAAAGGGATATCATCAGCGGCATATGCTAGGTTGGCCAACTAAGAACTGCCTTTAGAAACTTGTGTAAGGAATCATTCAGGACCCTGTATACCATTTATGTCAGACCAATCCTGGAATATGCAGCTCCAGCTTGGAGTCCATACCTAGTTAAACACAAGACAAAGTTAGAGAAGATTCAGCGGTATGCCACCAGGCTCGTCCAGAAACTGAGGTATGAGATATGAGGAAATGCTGAAGAGGCTGAAACTCACGTCCCTGGAAGACAAATGAGTAAGGGGAGACATGATAATCACCTACAAAATTCTCAGGAGAATTGACAGGGTGGACAAAGACAAACTCTAGCACGGGAGGAAACCGAGTACCCAAATGAGCCACAGACTTTAGAAAACTTTTTCAGTGTCAGTAGTTAGTAAATGGAATACATTAGGCAGTGATGTGGTGGAGGCAGACTCCATACACAGTTTCAAATGTAGATATGATAGAGCCCAGTAGGCTCAGGAATCTGTACAGCAGTTGATTGACAGTCGAGAGGCGGAAGCAAAGATCCGAGGCTCAACCCCTGCAAGCACAATTAGACTAGTACAATTAGGCGAGTACACCCTATCCGGAACATCAAACCAGAGAGATCAGCACAATTCTCGGCTGCTCAGCGCTTATAACACCAACGCCTTTAAAACCTGCCACCACTGTAATGGTGGGGGCCGAGCACCCACCTATGCACCCCCAGTCCATGTGCCTAGCGTAACCCAGCCCTTAAGACACTGAGCAGTTTCGCAATCTGTACCACATGGAGCACAGCGCAAGAGTAAACTGCACAGCAGACTGAACAGGTTGCTTTAAATATCTGCTTAGCATAACTTTACAAGATAACGGTGCAAATCGTCGTCTCTCCTGACGCTGGGAAGTCATCATATGCCACCTTCCTGCGTCTCCAGTAAGGCTTTGGTAGACAAACCGACATGTCATTCTGGTTGCTGGTTTCTTCGCTGGATCACAGGTTTCTTATCCAACAGGAAGCCGTGTGTATTGTCGCCAGGGGCACCAACACCAGGGGGGGCACCAACACCAGGGGGGGCACCAACACCAGGGGGGGCACCAACACCAGGGGGGGCACCAACACCGTGGGGGGGGCCCCACCAACACCAGGGGGGACCCACCAACACCAGGGGACCACCAACACCAATGTAGCAAGACACTTTGAACTCAGCACCCCCTAGAGGCAGGTGTGTCCTCAGCCCTGCCTTAATAAATACACTAAAACTCTGCTAAACCGTGTCTAAGAAACCCAATGAAAACATTATCTATGCTGATAATTATTATCTGTATCGCTAAGAATAACAAAATATTCTTAACTCTACATCAGACATCTCGGGACGTAACTTCAGCCATCTCTGCAATGATAACAAACGGGAGAGAATTGTTGACAAATTTTTTTATTTGTACTGAAGTACACACCTGTTCTGACCAGTCACAACTAAGGTACACCTGTTCTGACCAGTCACAACTAAGGTACACCTGTTCTGACCAGTCACAACTAAGGTACACCTGTTCTGACCAGTCACAACTAAGGTACACCTGTTCTGACCAGTCACAACTAAGGTACACCTGTTCTGACCAGTCACAACTAAGGTACACCTGTTCTGACCAGCCACAACTAAGGTACACCTGTTCTGTCCAGCCACAACTAAGGTACACCTGTTCTGACCAGCCACAACTAAGGTACACCTGTTCTGTCCAGCCACAACTAAGGTACACCTGTTCTGTCCAGCCACAACTAAGGTACACCTGTTCTGTCCAGCCACAACTAAGGTACACACCTGTTCTGTCCAGCCACAACTAAGGTACACACCTGTTCTGTCCAGCCACAACTAAGGTACACACCTGTTCTGTCCAGCCACAACTAAGGTACACACCTGTTCTGTCCAGCCACAACTAAGGTACACACCTGTTCTGTCCAGCCACAACTAAGGTACACACCTGTTCTGTCCAGCCACAACTAAGGTACACACCTGTTCTGTCCAGCCACAACTAAGGTACACACCTGTTCTGTCCAGCCACAACTAAGGTACACACCTGTTCTGTCCAGCCACAACTAAGGTACACACCTGTTCTGTCCAGCCACAACTATAACTCTATAATTGTTTATGAATCAAGGAGCTGAATCTCTTTGATCCCAGCTTGACTGACTAGATTAAAGTGCCTTATATGGAGGTGCCGACGTATGGGTAGCCTGGTACCCACTTAGTTGTGCTTGCGGGGGGTTGAGCTTTGGCTCTTTGGTCCCGCCTCCTGGTGTAAACAAACTGTCGTCAATATGGCTACCTGGAGTCCCGTAGCAACCAGAGCAGGGCACCGCTCCAGTGCCAGGTAAGTCCGCTACGGGCTCACCATAGGCCGTGCTACTTGGAACTTGTTCAGAGTAGCTGAATCTATAACAACAACCACCTAGCAACCATTCACCCCGATAGTGACCATCACCCGGCGTCTGCTGCCGGCAACACAATTATAGTTACAGTCAAATGTGCACTTCACAATTCGTGACATTAATGTCTGAAGCTAAACACGGATACAACGCAATTATTAACGTTGGTGTCAAAATTCACAATCATGTTAAGAAACTTATCTTGGTCTTGGAATTTAGTACCTACGGGCTCACAAGTAGCCCGTGCTACTTGGAATTGTTTGTTCCAAGTAGCGAATCTTTAACAACAACAACTTGGAATTCATTGTAGAACTGATTATAGCATGCTATAATGCTATAGAAATGCTATAGATGTCTATAACCATACCTGAAGCACACCTGGAGAGGGTTCTGGGGGTTCTTATACTCCCCGAGCCCGGGTTGACGCCAGGCTCGACTTGTGATAACTTGGTCCAACAGGCTGTTGCTTGGAGCGGCCCCGCAGGCCCAGATATCCACTACAACCTGGTTGATCCGGCACTTCTTGGGAGAGTGTTTAAAGCCTTTGAAGGGGGGGGGGGGTCACAGCTACTTGAGGTTATCTTGAGATTTCAGGGCTTAGCGTCCCCACGGCCCGGTCCTCGACCAGGGCCTCCTTTTTGTTTCACACCCCCAGGAAGCAGCCTGCGGCAGCTGTCAAACTCCCAGGTACCTATTTACTGCTAGGAGAACAGGAGCATCAGGGTGAATGAAACTGTCCATTGGTTTCCGCCTCCACTGGGGATCGAACCCGGAACCTCAGGACTACGAATCCAAAGCGCGGTCCACTCAGCTGTCAGGCCCCTTGCACCCAGGCCCCAGGCACCTAAGTACATGATGAAATATAAGAGCAACTAAATCGTCGGGGAATAGGCTCACCATAGCCTGTGCTACTTACCCCGCTCCTGTGCCAGGTAAGGTACGGGCTCGCCATAGCCCGTGCTACTTGCCCCGCTCCTGTGCCAGGTAAGGTACGGGCTCGCCATAGCCCGTGCTACTTGCCCCGCTCCTGTGCCAGGTAAGTTACGGGCTCGCCATAGCCCGTGCTACTTGCCCCGCTCCTGTGCCAGGTAAGTTACGGGCTCGCCATAGCCCGTGCTACTTGCCCCGCTCCTGTGCCAGGTAAGTTACGGGCTCGCCATAGCCCGTGCTACTTGCCCCGCTCCTGTGCCAGGTAAGTTACGGGCTCGCCATAGCCCGTGCTACTTGCCCCGCTCCTGTGCCAGGTAAGTTACGGGCTCGCCATAGCCCGTGCTACTTGCCCCGCTCCTGTGCCAGGTAAGTTACGGGCTCGCCATAGCCCGTGCTACTTGCCCCGCTCCTGTGCCAGGTAAGTTACGGGCTCGCCATAGCCCGTGCTACTTGCCCCGCTCCTGTGCCAGGTAAGTTACGGGCTCGCCATAGCCCGTGCTACTTGCCCCGCTCCTGTGCCAGGTAAGTTACGGGCTCGCCATAGCCCGTGCTACTTGCCCCGCTCCTGTGCCAGGTAAGTTACGGGCTCGCCATAGCCCGTGCTA